AGAATATTACAATGCATGCAAAACATTTATGCTGTCTTAACACTTAACAGGCTTTTATCCAACATTATCTTGCCAATCACTGTCCATCACATTCAGCTCATTACTTTGCAGTATTTATATTTAAATATTTTACAAAATAATCTATCACCACGATTCGGTACTGCACGAATATTTTGCAACGATGTATTAAATTTAATATTTAACAAGTTACGCGCAATAATTTTTTTTTTTTATACATATTCGAAAAACCTGATAAAAGAATTGCACTGCGATAACTAATAGAAAAAATATTTCACAGAAATGTTTATCATAAACCGTTATTATTCGGATCATTACCCAAAATCAGTGTTTCTCGAGTTCGCGTTTATCGTAAATGATTAATATGCGCTCATATATCTTCTTCATAGAGGCGTATCAAATTGCAAAGAAAAGCACGCATAATTGTAGAGATCCGCGAGATTCATTGGATGTGCAACATTACGCAATCTACATCAGTCTGGTAAAACGCGCCCGCATATTCCCACGGCAAGTATTGCACATCCAGTGCGCGCGAAACGTTTTCCCAACACTTTTTCATGTAACTTCCACACTGGGAAGCGATACTTGCAACAATGCAGTCGCGACATCGACACGCATTATATTATGTCACCTAATGATGATTACCTCATCAAAGCTGTATCGCGGGTGCGCCACAGAGATGCATAATTCTCAAAAATCTACAAGAACGCTGTTTTAAAATGATGCAATATAATTTTTTTATTGCGATTTAAAATAGCTTTATCTTATTAGCTGATAAGATTTGTCATGTCGCTCATTTGATTTATTACTATCTTGACGTAATATTGTGAAATTTATTTTTTTTAATATTTCTTAGATATTCACATTATTAGAAAATTGAGATAAATGTGACATTACAATATTTCTCAATGACATAATTTAATCATTGTCGTAATATTGCACTGTCACATTCACCTCGTGTCATGATTATCTTAATTGACCTTGATTAAACCAGCAAGACATTTCTAGTTACTCAAGACATTATATATAATTGGATTGTTAAAAATTATGTTTCTTAAGCACCAATGGGCACGTCCAAAGAATATTATAATAGAGAATTTGTTTTTTCCAAATTAATCAAAATGTAGTCGCTTCCGATCTTCGCGGGTTTGAGAAACGCTGCTCTAGACGATCCGTCAATTTGCATAGAATGTAGCGTTGCAAAATTCGTGCGGCACACGATGCGAGACCGGCCCGCATTTTACGAACAGCTCTCGGCTACATCGCGACTCGTCTCTTCTCAGGAACGGATCGTTATCGAGAAAGCAGACCAGGAGGAGGCAGCTGCTGTTGCTGCGATCCGCCCAGCGGCTTCGGCAGTCGAGCACGAGCAGCACGAAACGACGGAGACGACGACGAGCGCCGGGATGCCAGCCATCACCACCACCACTACCATCACTACTACCACGAGGAAGTGCGTCCTCGACACTGACGTTCATGAAACACCTACTACAGTTGTTACATCGACAGTCAATCATTCGCTGGAACGACCAGCAAATCTAAGCTTAGCAAAACAGGAAGCTAATTTGGTCGACGCGTTAAATGTCCCGAGTCCAGTCTCGCCGATTTCCAAACAAGTAAGTAGACTATCGGACAAGTTTTTTAAAAGTTCAATATAATAGTAAAGGATTTTTTTTTTAGAAAAATTCTTAATATATGCGATATGCGCATGTTTTATTCTCTGTGGATTGCGTCTAGTTCAAGACTCATTGCATTAAAAAATAAATATCTTGCATTCTTTATTTTTTTTATAATTATGAGTTTATAGACAGGTGAAAATAAAATAATTTTTTTCTTTTAAACATAGCAATTTAAAATCGCGAAAATTATATTTTTAAATTATTTCAATCTCCTTCATACAATATATGGAATAAATCATAGAGCAACGTTCACATGAATTTGCTAATTTATATATAATTAACCAAAATTCGGTATATTTACAGATTCTACCATTGACTCTGTCCAATGACGAGGAAATAATCGCAGATCAATCTTTCCTACTAAATCCACCAACGAGTGTGGAACCACCGAAGGAGAAACCACCACCACCGCCAGTGGACATTAGTGATGACGAGAATCCTCCGCCAGAACCGCTTAAAAGATTGAACTCTACTCGCAGAATAAAGAAAGAATTGCGTACAAGACGTTCGGATTTCCTCGGTATTGAAGGGGTAAGAGTGCAAGAATAAAATTATTTTTATACATCTTCATTGATTAAAACACCGATTGTACGATAAAAATTTGTATTTCCACAGTTTATAATTTTTAATTTTCGCAAGTGGATGCCTTTTAATAAAATAAATACCATTTCAAGAGATACGTTTTTTATGATATTAGCAGGTCAACGACGATGATCTCGAGCCTGAGCTAACGTTGACGAAACCACCCGATATGGCGGCGATCCTCGCTGAGGAGAGACGCATCGAGCAACTCCATCGTCGCTCTTACGACACTGACAGTAACTACGAGCAAGATTCGAGTCACGAGAGAGATTCCGGGGTCGAATTGGGCCACGTCGAAGATTGGGCGAAGCAACCCGTCAGCCCAGACATGTCACAGCACAGTAGACAGAGTAGCGAGCCCTTTGGTGCTAGTGTGACATCTTCCGAAGAAGATGAGATCACGAAGAAAGAGCGAGAGATCATCGAGGTTCTCGAGAAAGAGGAACAATGGCGATACGGAGATAATCGTGAATATAACAGGTGCAAAATTTAATTTAACTTTATCGTGACGCGGAATTTTCTTTCTATATTATTTTCAGATATTAAAATAAATAAAATGTATCTAATAAGCATTAGAAAGATATTTAAATCTTTCAAATATCTTTCGGATGTTTATTCGAGGTCTCCGTAATGTCTTTTTGTCCGTCGATTATCGAAATAAAAACTTGGTTACGATTTTAATGAAACTTTCCATACGAAACAAAATTCCGTGCAATTTTACGCGTTAAAAAATCGTTTAACTCGGATTGAGAATAAAAAAAATCAAATCAAATATACATTTATGACGCGACAGTGACTTGGGGGAAAGATTGGCCCACAAATTACGTGAGCTCGAGGAAGAGAAGATGCAATTGGAGAGGGAAGCTATATTGCGCTGCAACGAGGACGCGTTTCGCAAGAAGGACGACAACGCACGCAAGCAGGAGGATGCTTCCGCGCACGAGCAACAGCAGCAGCAGCAGCAGCAGCAACATGAAACAGCGAAACAGCGGGAGGCCCAGGCGCGAACGACAGAGGAGGAAGCGAAGTACGTCGGAGACAAGCGAAAGGACGAGGCGCGTGAGATACAGTCCGGACAACTGAGGATGCAAAACGAGATCGAAGAGAAGGAGCGGAGAGTCGCTGATGCGTGTCGCAAAGAGGAGATGCGCATTCGTTCGATGGAAAGTCAAATTCGCGAGCAAGAGGTGAGACAAATCACTCGCTTTATTTTTCGAGCGACACTAATGTAGAAAGAGAAAGTCGATGATTATAAGTAGATAGTACATTTAGAATGCGATCTTTACCTTTCGAGTATATTTTTTCTACATTTCTATTTATCTTTTTTGAAAAAAAAAACTCGAAATCACGCACCAATTTTCTGTAGCAAAGCACGCATTTTTTAACCGATAGCTTGGAGATGTCATTATCCTTGGGGTGATGTTATCTTTATTCTCATTAACGTCTTATCCGCTCCTTGATACTTTCATTTACACATTGAGAAACCGCGAGATAGTCACGTTTGTTATTGCAACATTGCCCGAAGGATGTGATCGTTCAATCGTAGTATGGTGCAAATCAAATATATGGCGTAGTGTAAATATTGATGGAGGGATCGTTGCTAATTATTCGCAGAGCAAGGCATTGGTCGGTGCTGGGTTGAGCAACAACGAAGATGAATTCCCTTCCGGGGTAAGGCAACAGTTGTCACTGTATTCATCACTTTTTTAGTTCGCATGCACTTTTATATAATGCAATATAAATATTCATATAGGAATGCCATTTACTTTTTCTTCTTACCATTTCTTTTAAGTATCTCTTGGGTACTTTAACTAATCTGAAGCTAACTTGATTCGATACGATTTCTTTATTTACATAACAATACGTTACGTAAATAAATTAATCATGCCACAAGATATTTTATTTCATTTATTACAAAATATATTGTGAATTTTGTGAATATATTTTTTTTTGAAATCTAAAGTGACAAATAAGAATTGACAATATTTCAAAAAAGAATATATTTACTTATTAATTTAAAGATATTTGATATGATTTCAGTTTTTGTTATTTTTAGTGACAACTACATTCATTTAGAAAGAAATAATTAGAATCTAAAGAATATAACACAATAGCTTAGCATTTTAGATATGTATTAGGTAAATAAAGATTGCAAATATCATAGCTAATCGAAAATGTATATTATCTCTTTAGGAAGTGTTGCGAGTGGAAAGGGAACTTTTACAATTGGAGCAAGAAGAATTAAAGAGACAGCGCAATAATTTGGCTTATCGCGAACAAAAACAACTTAGATTGGCCGAGCAACTACAGGAACAGTGGAAATCCTTGCAGGACGTTGCACAGAATTCCGTTAAAAACACACAACAATACAAATATCATACACCTGCCACAGTGAATTATAGATCTTCGATGCCGAACTTACAATTTCAAGACATGTCAAGAAGAAGACCACCTCCTCCACCCGTTCCACTCAATAAACCACGTATGCCGGATCAGAGACAGCGAGATGTTACTATCAGGTTAGTAGATCATTGTATAAATTTAATGTTTTCGATGCATAATATTAAATTCTCTTTCATTGTATTACGTAAAGAAAGTAATAATTAAATTTCAATTAAAATAATTTTAATTTGTAAGTTAATGAAACAAATAAATATAAAATAATATCCTTGTTTAATTGCGAATGTATAGGAACAGCCGTATACCATCTGCGGACTCGATTCCTCAACAAGTAGACGCAGCAATTAGGGAAAGTGCGTCGGCGACGAATCACGCTGGCCAGCAAATGTCTAGGCAAACCTTACAAGCATTAAGCGCAGTACCACGACCACGAATCGTTCAAGGTGATCAATGGGTGCAGCGAAGGAAGAGCGACGTACCGAGAGGCGCACATGATGTAAACTATCAACATTGGATTATTCAGGTGCGCATTAAAATAATCTTAATTAAAATGATGTAAATTTGTAATATAATCTTTAAGTGCACATTAAATTTACTAAAAAAAATTGCAAAAATAATTTTTTTTATTGAAATAAGATTTTTTTACTTAATTTCTTAGAAGTTTTAAAATATCTTTATCGTGTAAATAATCAGTTAATTTATTAGTATTTAATTAAATTGAAAATTTCTGATAAACTTTAAAATAATTTTGTTATCGAATATACATGTAGCAATGTATGAGATTATATTGATAAGTTCTACTATCTTTACCAACCTAACCAGTATCTTTCCTTGACAGGAGGCGGAACAACGGAGGATTAATGAGAGAAACCAACGATCACCGGCGCGGAAATCTCAACCACATGTAACTGGCACCTCTGTGCTATATAATGTTCCAACTCGGACAGATAGCAAACCGCTACCTGATTCTATTATACAAACTCTAACCCAGAGGGTACAGAATAAAACGCAAGAGAAACCTCTCTCGGCAAGAAGAAGGTAAATACTGCATAATAATAAAATGTAATGTAAAAATAATTTTTTATCGAGAAACGTAAGATCAGTTATAAATGCAAAATAATTTTTTGTTCTTTTAGACCGGAACAAGTTCACAGCCAAGAACACCTATCGACTATGCAACCACAACAATACACGCTGCAGTCTCAAAAGACACAACATGCACCAGTTGCAAATACCAACGGAAATCAAGAAAAAATGCTGAGCGTGAGCGGAAAGAAAAAATGTTCGCATTGCGGGGAAGAATTAGGTAACCGACCGAGCTCCAAGATTTTATCTCACCATTATATGGCTTAATATCATTCCTAACGTATTATTAACATAATTTTTACGATTTTTTAGGTCGAGGTGCTGCGATGATAATTGAAAGCCTACGCTTGTTTTATCATATGGAGTGTTTCAAGTGTTGTGTATGCCATGTGCGTCTAGGCGACGGATTGATGGGAACGGATGTACGCGTTCGCAATCATAAACTCCACTGTCACAATTGCTACTCCAGTGACGACGGTACACATATTTAACTCTACTTAGACTGTTAACATTACACAATCGAGCGCGTATCGATTCCGAGAACATCTGATAAAATGCACACTCTTTTTGAATTTAAAAACAAGTAAAAATGTCTTTAAAAATTTATATCGTACAGATAATTGGAAACGAACGATATTCCTCAATGTATAAAATATTTTATATAAAAATAAGATTGTAAAGGCTAATATTAGCGCGATTGAAAGCATGTGCAAAAACATCTCGGAAAGATATCCTTATTTCTTATAATTTATATTGTTGTTAAATTTTCAGGTGTCAAGTTCAGTTGTGTGTAGAAGCCTGGCGGTTAACGGAATTATGCTGGTTAACTTGATAGTAACACTTTCTGGTTATATCTTACTACCTTCGTAATTGGCTGTTTACCTTTGCCTAAAAGTGTCACACGAGACACACGACATACAGAAATAAATGTGCATTAATGTACTTTTTAACAAATCGAAAATAGCAAAAGAAACGATATCATCCGTCAATATAATCTTCCGTGCTTTTATTTCAAAGTAAGAAGTTCACGTATGAACGCAACTGTTTCTATCAATTAATAAGCGAAGGATGTATATAAGATGTATTTATGTAATTAGTGTAGAGATAAGAAATTGCCGTCGTTGAAACGATTCAATGTGGATGTAGCTGGCGTCGATTTAAGGACGCTGTATATTTTTGTAATATAGTTCTCGTACTATTTATACCCACAGGTAAATCTAATTTCATCGATCGAATAATAAAATGTGCGCGATTGTTTTCTCAAGCAAAAGTCTTCGAATTTTTCACGTAGGAAGCAAATAACGCGAAATCGAATCTCCGCAGAGATGATCGAATTCTAGCAATTTCAACTTTGCAGTCGACAAACAGTGGCAGTTCTACCGCTATGTTAGAAGTTTTAAAGCTCTAGGATCAAGAGATACATATCATTTCGATTGACATTTCTTAAACGAAGCAAGTTTCAAGTTTTTTTTTATCAATTTTAAAATTTAATTATTTTGTTGAATTGTATTAAAATAAAATTTATGTTAGTTATTTTTCCTAGTGCATCTATTTTTGAAACGTTATTTTTTGTGTAAATGTCTTTTATATCAAAACTTTGCTAATAATAAATGCATATCTGTAAACCAAGTATTAAAAAAAAAATTTAAATATCAGCTTCAGACTGCTGAAGAGAGATGATATGGATCCACCACTGCTTATGAATCAAAACGTGACTTGACGTATTGATACTTTTATACGTGATAGCACATCGACCCGATAGCATTGTTTAAACAAAAACAAGATCTTTAAATTGCTTCCAAATCGTATTCATACTCGCGTCAAAGACGCATTACGTTGTGAAATATTGTAACATATGCATCTCGTGTTATTAACATATGTAATTTTATATTATTAAAGAAAATAAATGAAATAAAATTATTCCATAAAATATTTCTCACCTGTTCTGGTAGTTCTTTCTATGTCATTATCGATACAATTGTTGAATATTTAAATTGTAATGTTAATGTATAATAACGTATAATATTAACATGATATTTAATGTATTACGAGTGTTCAGCTCTTTAGAAATACTCGCAATAATTCGCAATCAAGATCCACTTTGGAAATACAAGAAAATTACAAGAAATACAGAACAATTTGAACATGATATCTTGCACATAATTGACTGACATTAATATCTATTGAGAAGCGATAGATGATTGCAATTTTCGAAGCGTCAAAATAATCAGAGCAGTACTTCGTACTGATCAATATAGAAATAAAATTCGAGGTATCGTAATAAATGGCAAAAAACGGCAAATTATTAAAATGGTGCAGCTAATTATAGAATAATAGCATGTACATACTTGACAATGAAGACGCATCTGTGTAGTTTCCTTCAGTATGAAATATACAGGATTTCGACTAACCGCAAGCACAGATATTAAAACTGCAATAACAATAATAAAACGTGTCAGGCGTCAGCAACCTTCCACACTTTACGAGACACTCACAACAACTTTTCGCGCTCAAAATAAATTTTTAAATAGTAACAGTTATAAGAAATACAGAGCGCTTTGAATATGATTGGCCCCGGCGTGCACGTAACCGTGTGATATTAGGATATATTCACATAAACTTGCATAGCACATAAGCATATGCATCGGAAAATGGATTGGTCCATTTCCTTATACATCTTCTTATGGATACGCCTTTAGTACTATCGAGAAGCGATAGATAATTGCAATTCTCGAAGCGCAAGATCAAAGCGGCAAACTTCACACTATCAATACAGAAGTAAAATTCGAAAAATCGGTCAATAAATGATAAAAACAGAGAATTATTATAAAAATTAACCCAGCTAATTATAGAGCAATGATATGTGCATACCTGAGAATGAAGGCGTATCTGTTGCAGTTTTCTTCGGTGTGAAATATAAGGAATGAATTACGGTACACGGCAGCAGATAGACACATATTAAAACTGCAATAATAACAATAAAACCCGATGTTTCATGCGTCATTAACATTTATGCGTTATTCTACACTTTACGAGACACTCGTGGCCACTCACGACAACTACACTCGCGTAGAGCATAAACTTTTAAACAGTAAAAACTTTTAAACAGGTAAAAATACGGAGTGATTTGAATACGACTTGGCACAACGCGTTCACGTAAAAAAATGACTCTGCATTCATCGACGAGCGATAGATGTCTCTCGAAACGCTGAAGCAGTACGACAACTTTACCAAAATTAATGCAGAAAAATTTATATTTTAATTTTTAATATTTGAAATAAGTAAAATAGTAAATTTATTTGCAATAATTATATATAATTTTTTAATATTTAAAATGATAATGTAATTGAATGTATGGCTCGAATCTAACCTAACTTTAACTTCATCTAACCTGAAAAATCCACATGCAGTTTATTCTAGTATGTCGATAGATTAACCCAAATACTACTAAATTATCGATTAAAAATTAGTTAAAAAACAGTTTGTTGTAATTGTTGGCAAGCAGCAATTATGGCTGTATCTGTTTTCACACGTCATCCATATTTTCGACGTTTTATTAATCTAAGAAACAATGTTGCTGGTTCACTTTTAAATGCCCAACGTTCAGTAAGTTTGAAAAAATAATTAGCAGTTCTTTGTAATCAAGTTATTAGCTATTCAATATAATTTTTTATTTCAATTATGTTTGTATTAATTATATTGTATTAATTATTTTATGATTGTAGAATAATATACAACATATTACATCAAGATTATATACAACGTCTGATGATGAAATCAACAATATATTGGAAAGTGATTTCAATAAACCAAACAAAAAGATGAGCAAAGCTATGGTGGCTTATTTAAAACGTGCAAGAGAACATGGTAATAATTGATTTATTTTTTTTTTTTTTACTTTGGAATACTCAGTAATATTTTGCATGACTGATAATATATAGTAACAATTTATAAAATATTTTATGAATTTATTTATTTTTATTAGATGAATTTATGAAGAATAAGATTGCAGAATATGAAATAGGAAAAAGACACTTGGCTAATATGATGGGTGAAGATCCAGAGTGTTTTACACAAGAAGATATAGATGTATGTAATTATGTAAATCATGAATATTTGAGTTGATATTTATTTGAATTAAATATCTGAATATAAAATGTTATATTTAAAATGTAATTATTATTTTCAGAGATCAATTGCATATTTGTTTCCATCAGGATTATTTGAGCCTAAAGCTCGACCATTAATGAAACATCCAGAAGAGATTTATCCAATTAGAAAAGCAGCAGAATTTGATGAATCTGGAAGACCTCATCACTCTATGTTTTATACTTCTAAACCAAATTATTATGAGACATTATATGTAAGTTATATAATATAATATATAATAATATAAAAGAAAGTAGTGTTTGACAGAAATATTTTTATATTTTTATATAGAATATTGTGGAGAAAATCAAATCTCTAAATGGCATTGAAGATTCATTAATAAGGAAAGGAACATTACCTGTGGACAAAATGTATGTTTGATGTTTATTGTTTAACTTACATTGAATGAATATACATACACCACATTTGACAATTTTATATTACTTTATTATATTAATATTAGAAATATTAATTTATATAATAATAAATATGCTAATATAATGCTAAATATAATAAGTATGATTATCTGTTAAAGATGTATCTTATTATGTTTTCAGTGATCTGGAAGGTTTCACATGGTTATCAAAACAGGAGATTGAACAAAAACTTCTTGAAAATCTCAAAGATAGAGAGGTGAATAAAAAATAATATTAATAACGATATTACTATTACTCTAATCTTTTAAAGAAACATGTTCATGTATTATATGACATAAATGTGTGTAATTTTTTTAGTACAATTATCTTATTACAACGTTAGAGCGACTAAGTGATCATCCTCTCTCAAAGCGTGTAACAGATTTCATTATAAAATACAGAAAAGCACTTGTTTCTCATTCTAATGAAGCATCAATACCACCTGTAAGTATTTTTGTGCATTTATAATAAGAAAAAAAGTATAGTTAATACCAAAATTTATTTTTATGTGTATAGTTGGAATTTGACAGCACAGGAAGACCATATATCATAGTCAAAAGTAAGTTAGAAGGAGTCTTAACATTTGCAAATAGCTAGAAAATCAATATACGTCAAATTTGTCAACCTCATTACTAATTATGACTGATCATTACTAACATCATGAATAATTTCAGACTGCATGAGGAAATCTGCAAGAGGCGAAGTGACAATTTGGGGTAATGGCTCTGGAAAAATCATTATTAATGGACAGAATATAACATACTTTGAAGCTATTTGGCATCGCGAACAGGTGAGTTAATTAAGTTTTCAATAATTCTTTTTATATTTTATTGGTTTTTTCGCACTTTTAAAGTATTTATTAAAAGAATCTATATTAGATTTATGATTCTAAACATTATTTTCAATGTTTCTAGATTTTTGCAATATAAATTTTATATATTTTTGTGTTTAAAAAAATCAATATTAAATTTGTTAAAATACTTTAAACTTTAATAGAAATCTGAAATTTTGTACAGTGCACTATATAATTTGACTAAAGATTATTATTTGTTACGCAATAAACAAGTTATTTCGCAACCTAACTTTTACGTCATTCAACGTGATACTTTGTAATTAAATTTATTAAGTGTGAAGTAAAACTATAGTAAAGCTATAGTAAATAGACTTCTGATAGCTTTATCGGCTATCAAACAAACTGTTTTATTTGTATCAGAATATGCAATTCATTACAACATCGTACACACTATTAGCTTACTTTTGGCATTTAGGTCAGAGAAATCATTTAATCGAATCTCATGTCAGTTGAATTTATTGACTTGAAAGTCTAAATCGCTTTAGAAAGATCATCTTATAAAGGAACGCATTGTTCCGAAATAATTATACAATTCAAATTAATATATGTATAATTATATTTGCGGCTGAGTCGAATCTTCTGATTTAAAAGTTAAATATAATGACAATAAATAAACTGTGGTTCACCTAAAATATATTTGATATTTTCAGAGTTAACTTGAAAAATTTAATTAGCAAAATAATCTTTTAGCTTTTAAAAGCATTACATTTATATAAAAAAATTTCAACTAAATTTTTTTTTCTAATGCTGCAAGTGAAGATACAAAAATCTTAATTATAGATCCGTTACAATACGTTTACATCGAAGAAACTCAAGTACAAAAGCTTACAAGTGCTGAGATTAAAAATGTTAATATTTATTTTAACACAGTGACACATGTTTAATCACAGATTTAAGGGATTGATAATGCATTGAGGAGAAATACATATATTGAGAAAAGAATTTATTTTTTGATGATTCTGTGATGCATATTGTTAAGAATGTGAAATGTGAAAAATACATGCGTCCTTCAAGAAAGGTGGCTTTTTTGTGCGACTCTGCACATCTTTGATAACCGGTTGCTCACATCAGATACATGTGGCCCCTAAGCCTCTCTCACCGGTATAACCGGTACGATGGAGCTATACGCTTTCTCGCTCTCAGTGTGAATTGATCTGGCAAGAGAACGAGGTAATGCGATCGAGATGGTCATCAACGCCCGCTGCCGAGCTTCGTCTCGTGCCGTGAATGCATAAGGTACTTTTTCATCTTCAAACCATCTCCGTCGTGATGTCGGTCGCGTATTGTCTGGCACTTTTTTGTAATAACTGAATCATTACATTAAGTCCGAAATATATCGCATAAGCATCTTTGAAGGGTACTTTATCAACTGACAGCAATTTGTTTTTAAATCGAACACAACATGATGGTCGTTACATGATGTTTGTTTCTGTATAATTGAAACTTCCATTTAGCTTTGTATTTAATTTCTATTCACTTTCATATGTAACTTTGATTTATTTTTATATTTGACTTTTATTTAATATTCATATTTTCAATATTTTTTATAATTTATTTTAATATTTTTATTTTTTACTTTTGGTTATTTGTTTTTAATAGAATAAAATTGAAAAGACTGATATAATAGTTAAATACCTTGGAATTGTTCAATGTTTAGTCATTTAAATATAATTTTTTAAAAATATTTATGACATTTTTAAATGATTATTACATGAATTAATAAGATATTGCTGTATGAAAGATTTATTGAAAGATTTCTTATCGGGTATATAAACTTCCTGTATTTCTATCTTTCTATCTTTGTAGTAAGTCGGTCGCTAAAATTATTGTCGCATAAATATATTATTTGATATCAAGTTTGTGAAAGAGTATAACATATGAGAGATATAAATACTGTTTGTTCATTGAGATAACAGATTATCTTTACTATATGACCGATTTTCCAATTAATTTTTGTGCGATGTGCTTTGATGCTTGCGATAGATTTCAATGTGATATTGTAATGCCTGCACAATATACTACTAAATTTGAATCAACTTAGAGTTTTTTATATATCGAGGAAAAGTGGATGATATATATTGAAATATTGTTGTTTATGATTGTAAATTTAATATCTTATTTATAGGCAATTGAATTTAATACGGCAGAGCAGGCGGAGATGGTAGATAGTTTCAGTGCCAACTTTGCATCTTCCTCACCGATAAAAGAAATGGAGGAATCCGGAGAACGAGTATCAAAGACTTTTCCGATGCTATTGGCACGCACGAGTGCAGCTTCCCTGTTTTTAACTCGGCTAAAAAGCAAACGCGCTAAACAAAATGTTACTCAGTTCGAGGATGATTGTGGCCAGAACGAATCGCCACCATCTCCGAACAGTCCGACAACTTCTATGAAGAGAGATATACCTATGATAGAAAATTACTCTGTCATCAGCGAATGTGCCAGTTCCGAGGAGGTCAATCGTACCTCCTTGCGTATCAACGAAGACTTAATCAGCAACATACTGACGGAACATCGAAGACGTGTAGGCTGCAAATCACAGATCTGGGAGAATCTGGAACGGAACAAAGCAGATGAGGCAAAAACGGAAGTATTTTTGGGAAACTTCAAGTCCAACGAGATCAATATTCTGCTGTTGCAAGCAAGTTTCATGGGTCAGACGGATCTCATTCGTCGTTTGTGCAAACGCGGAGCCAATGTCGACTACACCGAGCCCGATCATGGTCTCACGCCGTTACACCTGTGCGCATTTCGCAATTGTCTGGACGGCGTCAAGTATTTGACAGAGCAGGGAGCGAGCATCGATACCAAGTCGAAGCACACGCCGTTTCATTACGCCGCTTTCGGTGACGCGGTCGACGTCACCCGGTATTTTCTGCAGCGAGGTATCAGTCAGGAATCTCCACACGATTCTGAAGAAACGGTACTGCACGTGGCCGCGCGAACGAAGGCTCTCCGCGTGCTTTCTCTATTGGTGCCGAACAGCAAGGAACTGGATCGCTTAGATCAGGACGGATACGCCGCTATTCATCACGCGATCGACGGAGGCGACCCGATTTGCTTGAGCATACTTCTGAAAGCCGGTTGTCAAGTGGATTTACGTACCGCGAAGAACGACACTGCTCTGCATCTGGCCGCGGAGGCCGGTTTAGCAGACAACTTGATGCTTCTAGTTAAGGCTAACGCTGATCTACAATTGAAGAATCATCGAGGACACACAGCGCTGCATTTAGCCGCCCGTTCACATTCTCTGGAATGCGTGGAAATTCTGCTGAAGGGACACGCAGATCCCAACGCGGAGGATGACGAGGGTCGGACACCGCTACATCTGGCCTTAGGCAAGTCCTTGGTAACCGACGACATCACTGAGCTCCTGCTGAAATGGCGGACAAACGTGAACAAAGCCGATAAGTACGGATACACGCCGCTTCACATCGCCGCTTCAAACGAATTGTCACAAAGCGTCAACTTGCTGATAAAGTACGAGGCGGATCTCAGTGCTAGGACCATCGGCGGCAACAGCGCTCTGTCCATCGTCTTGCGCAAGACCCCGACTTCCTTGGACGTGTTCGAGCGCAGATTGGACGCGTCTTTGACTCTGAACCGACAGGGATTGATCGGGGGCGAGCTCGAGTTGCAGCTGGACTTCCGACCGTTGCTGCAACACCGGCGAAACCGACGGAGTCGCTCGCCCGAAATCGGCTATCTGAACAGCTTCGTGAAGGAGGGCTACAAGGAGATCCTGGAACATCCTCTGTGCCAGTCCTTTCTCCACCTCGAGTGGCACAAGATCCGGAAATACTACGCTGCGCGGCTGCTCTTCTATTTGGTATACGTGCTGATTCTCACGAGCTGGGTGATAATCGCTCTTGCTCACAAATGCTACAACGAGTCGCAAGGAAACACATACAAGCAGTCATTGTGCCTGAACGCGAGCGACATTTACAAGTTTTTGTACAAGTATCCCGATAGGGGTCTCACGGTGCTCAAAATTCATTGGTACGTGCTGGTGACGTTCACCATTCTGGAAGCCTTTCGCAAATTTACCGTCATACCCAGCTATCGATCCGTCCGGCAGTTCTTCACGCAGATGGAAAATCTGGTCGAATGGTGCGTGATACTGGGCGTATTCGCCACCTCGTTTGTGTATACGGGGAGAACGGACGACTGGCAGAATTACTTGGGCGCCTTTGCCGTACTCTGCGGTTGGAGCAATCTGATGCTGATGATAGGGCAGCTACCGATGTTCGGCGCTTACGTCGCCATGTTTACCAGCGTGCAAGCACAAGTGTTTAAGCTGCTTCTGGCCTATGCCTGTCTTCTGGTAGGCTTCACAGCAAGCTTCTGCGTGATCTTCCCGCATTCCAAGGCATTCAGCAGCCCACATACAGGCCTCATCAAGGTTCTCGCGATGATGACGGGCGAATTGGGCTTCGACGTCTTCTTCGATGATGATAAAGACGATTATAAAAATATAAAAGGAATTTCTTTGATCCTGCTGAAAGTCTCGGCTCAGCTTTCTTTCGTCTTGTTCCTCTTATTCGTGACAATCGTGCTGATGAATCTACTGATCGGGATAGCCGTACACGATATCAAGGGTCTGCAAAAGACCGCGGGTCTTGCGAAACTCGTTCGTCAGACGAAACTGATTCACGACGTGGAGATAGCAATTTTTTTAGGATTTATGCCATCGAAACGCTTCCACAAGTGGCTACGATGGACCGCATTACTCCTGCCATCACCTTTGCGAGTCGTTCTGACAGTGCGTCCGTTAAACCCCAGAGAGAAGAGATTACCGCGTGATGTTCTCTCGGCTGCCTATAAAATCGCTAAGGAGGGAGACGGCCAGAACAGTTTTGCCGTTACTCGCAAAAAAACTTACGGATCATCGGCTTATTACGCGAAAGCATGTCTCAAAGCTGACGTGGCTGCTTACCGTCGTCGTAACTTTGACGAAGACACATTGGCGCACGATTGCAACAAATTCAAGGACGACATTGCGGAACTCAGAGAAATTTGCGAGAAGAATCAAACTCTCCTTCGTGAGCTTATAAAGGCACACGGTGTAAATAAATGAAATTCAACGGCAAGAAAAATTAATGTTAAGAAAACATTGATAGAATGTTGAAAATATTCAAAATCAATGGCCGAACTGTTCAAAGTTTAAGATTTGATTATCCAGCAATAATAAAAATGCTCTGAAAACTTGAGTTTATGGAATTCGACATTGATACGAGTCATGAATAATTACATAAAACAGTCTACATAAAACATCGGCAATTTATTACTTCTTGTGTAATTTCGTACATTTTGTATCTTCCAGCAAGCAAGTTTTATGCTAAGATAAAACTCTTGAATAAGATAAGATGTCCTGTGATACAAACGTGGTTGTGTCTGATATGTTAATTCCGTTCATCTTTATGCATAGAATTTTTTTTACTAAAAAACGCTAAGGGCATTACACATATTTGCACATTAAATGCTGCATTCAAACAGAAATTTTGCCTTTATATACAGTAATTGTAAAAAATGTTACTTTATGAGAACATTTAGTTTACTTTTATTTCTGATCCTTTAAGATATTTATACAAATATATTTTAAAAGTTAAAAGTATAAAAGTATAGACGTTTATGTATAGTATGTATTTGCTGTATTCTAATGAATTTCGTGACGCGAATACTAACGTACGAATATTGATGAGACCTTAGAAGAAAACAGAATGGCCTATTTACATTTATTCTAAACATTCTTTCACAGTTGGACAAGAAAGTTTTTGTAAGTTGAGTGTGTGCTTTGTTGGAAAAATTTCTTTATTTCTAAATTCAACATATGTGTATTATTAATCAAACCAACATATCGTCTTAAGACTGGTGTAGTTTTTAATTTATGGTTTTGCACGTCGGCATATTTCTTAGCATATTTTAATCTTAATCTTTTTTTTTATTCTTATGTAATTTTTCTCAACAGAATTTTATGAATAAATTTTTGTCTCTTTTTAAATTACTGTTATTTAAATTTAAATAAATAGTCATACGAATTATTTTCGAAAATTTCCCATGAAGATAAATTGCTAAGCGCGTATGTAAAATTTACTTACAATTAGTAAGAAAGTTTTAGCCAAGTTTTACTTTGACGTTTTTTTTTAGCGAAATCAAAGAATACATATGTGGGCAACATTAACGGTACATATGGACTGACTGTCAAAACCGGTTCCATTCCGCATAAATTCTCCTATGTTAAAAGTTCGACTTTCAAAATAGCAATCCGTTGTTAAGTCCCATAACGAGTTAAAACTAGGATATTGGATTATACATCCATCTCTCGAAGGAGAATATAGTGGGCTGAAATTTTAGAAGCAACGATCTATATAAACTTTGTACTTTGAACGAACGCTATTCGAAACACATAAGATATTTGCCAAGATTCATTATGAATTCATTATGATATTCGCCAGATTCATTAGTAAAATAATTTGGTAGTTTTAGTTCTCCAAATCATCTAAAAACAGATTTAAAAAATTGTACAAAAAATACACTACACAGTCTATCGCGTAATGGAACCGAAGAATTCTCACAGCCCCAATAAAATTACGCCCAAGGCAAAATTGTGTCTTAAATTCGAATGCTAAAATTATTCGGGTTAAAATAAGTATTAAAGCAAAATGTACATACTTCATATACATACTTCCGCGTTCTGTCTACACATCTCATATATTAATATTTAGCAATTAGCAGTTTCTTAAAGAAATATTCTGAGAAATTTTCTAAATGTATTTAAGTTACATTTCGTATATAAACATTTTATAGAAAGTTAGCAAATTCGAGAATATTCTGAGCAGATATTTTGTAAATGTGGATACTAACGAGGAATACAAAATTAAAAATTACGTAAACCGGTCGTGATATTATTGCAATCACGTGATCCACGGTGAAAGGACTAGATACGCTATTCGAATTCGGAAAGTTAAGTAAAATTCGACTATGAAAGATAAAAAGAAGAAAATCATGTAACTTTATACAATGAATCAAATAGGAGACAGTGAACAAAATGAAATTCGGAATTGAGATTTGAATAAATGTCGATTGATTGATAAATACTAGAATGTTAACTAAAAATTGAATCCGAATATAAATTATAGAGGTAAATCTAAAATTTAATTTTCTTACTAATAAATACATAAATTTTACATATGTGTTTAGCAATACGAGCATCTTGACAAGTTTGCAGAAATAGCTCGTATAACTGCTTAAATTTAAATAATGTCATTTAAAAAGAAAAAAGCTGCTTATAGAGAATTCTATTTAGAAAAATTAAACAATTTTTTCTCTAAAATTTAACATGTTTAAAAATATAATTGTATGCATCATTTTATAAACATAAGCTGTTTGTCATTTAATTAATTATCTCTCTCATTATTTTTCCATGGATAAATTCTTTACTAGAAATTAAAATATTTTAGTAAAATATAATAAAATCTTTTGTTATAGCTCTTAGCAAAAAATTCTTATTCTTTTTGCCTTATTCGCTAATTTTCAACAAGAAAAATATTCATTATATTTGATTAAAATCGCAAATATCTAATGATATCTTTTTCACGATAACATGTAAATAATAATGTTGACAGATATAAGGTCTTAGGATAAGAATCGAACGATTTTCCAATAGTATTTTTCAGCATCATCTAGATTAATCCGGAATATAGCAGAAGGGCAAATCGCGTATATCGCGATTCGCAAATAGTAAATCTCGAAATCGACCTACATCTTATATTTATGTATTTTGTCCATCACGCGTCTTTGCCCCTCTGCTTGCAAATTCCGCTTTCCGCGCAATCGCCCGACCGGTGGAGACGCATGCAGAATAGATAGATCATGCAGTACGCATAGCGCGATCGTACGAATCAGTTGAGCCCGTTGTAATGCTCACGAAATTGAGCGAACAATGATAGTCATCTCGAATCGACACAGACTTCACAATTAGAAAATGTGACTGAAACTCTTCTCAGTTCTGCATTTTAAAATGGAAAACTCGGTTTTTCTCGACCCAATTTCTGGATTCTTATAAATACGCGTTTCAAAAAGCGACAGCATTGAATAGACAGTTGAAGTGACGATCATATAAAGCTAGTAGTGACAAAAAGAGTGCGATATTAGTGAAAAATATAAAACAATCACGCTATTCGTATCATTTAAACACAATAGATAGATTAGAATATTAACACATATTTACCAAATTTTGATTAAAAATTAGTGTATCAATATATTTAATAATATACGAGAAACACAATAAACTAACAGTACAAACTAAAAAGAAAAAAGAAACAAAATTAATTGAGAAAACGTAGTAATATATTCTTCTTCATAATGAAAGAAAATATTCAAATTTTTTGGCACTGATAGAAGAAGCCTGAGAGAAAGCAGCATTATCTGTCTTTAGCCTTATTACCCATATCTCGCGTATGCCAAGTATACTTCGTTAGAGAACGTGTCATTAAGCTGTGCGGATGAAAGCAAGTCATGATCAGATCAGTGTAACAAGGTGCAGCTTTGATTAAGTCAATCGGTCGTGCTCGAAGCTGTAATATAATGATAAGAATCCTCTTTAAAAATGATTTAAGCGACTCGCGAACGTGACGTGATAGCCGAAGGAAAGAGCGGGAGAGGAGAAGTGGAAAGACGTACGAACACGCGGCTTGAGATGCTCTTCACACGAATCATCGTGTAGTAATAAAAAGATACATAATTACTCAACTTCAAATCGGCACTTATGTTGGAAACTAAACAGTATAACATCTGACAACTGAAATAACTCTGACGAGGAACAGAATGACAGAATTATTATCGTCACACATAGTTCAAGTGAGATGAGAACTATTAATTGTGAAATATCAATTCTTGTGTGCAAGGTGTACAGAAAGAGCTGAAATAACGGAAAGAAAGATGATTGCACGGATAACAATGATTAGATGATTCAATCGAGCAAATCATTCAAGTGAGCTAAGACTGAAGGAATGTTTATCATTGAACTTGAAGCGAAATTATCTAACAGATAAAATTATTTTTTATCATAGATAAATTTTGACTCAAAAGAACCATGTGTGAAAACGAACGAGAAGGGAAGTTGTCGGAGGAAAAGAAGGCTAAAATCGAAAAACTCGAAACAGGTATTTTGAAGGTACCAGTCATCCTCGACGAGAGCAGACACCATATTTACACCAGGAGCTTCATCAACAGTCGTCACAAGGATGATTCGCTGACCGCGAGACTAGCTTCCACTTATAGATCCTTGAGATGCACTTACGCGACAGAAGATTATCCGCAAAAAATTACAATCGGTGATGCAACCATGTTGGAGTCCAACAATGATCAAATCGAGATCGACGCCGGCGAGCCGCCGCCAGCCGACGAGTCCTTCTTCTTCGACAATCTCAAATACTGCAAGAATCACCACATGAATGGCGCCAAGTTGAGATATGCAATATGGTCCATCGTCGATCCGGCGGAGACGAAACTGCTTCTGCAAATGGAGAAAAGCAGTGTATTACCGAACGCGTGCAAAGATGATCGATTACGAAATGTCGCTTACATCTGGGCATCTTACCGCGGTCTGCTGCATCTTCTGCCGGAGCTGGAGAACGCCGGCGCGCGTTATGATTACGTTGAACCTCGCACCGGCGTGAATGCCATCCTTGCGGCCTCGTTGGGCGATAAGGTCGCGTGTGTGGAGTATTTGATCAGCAAGGGCGCCGACGTGAACTACGAAAGCTCGATCACGCGTTACAGACCGCTTCATTTCGCGGCGCTCGGCAACAGTTGGCATGCCGCGAACACGTTACTGGACAACGGCGCCAAGCTGAATTATGTCTGTCAGGAAGTGGTCGAGCCCGTTCTGCACAGCGCTGTCCGCGCAAAGGCGGTGAAGACGGTAAAACTGATACTCGATCGCGGTGCCAGCGTCGTCGAGAAAAATCATCTTGGTCAAACGCCGTTGCACGTAGCTTGTTTCGTTCAATCGCTACCATGTGTCGAACTGCTGTCGGCAGGTGCGTCCAACGTTAACGACGTGGACAGGGAACTTAGAACACCTCTGCATTTCGCCGTGATGAGCACCGATTCGTCCGCCGAGCTGGTGCAATTACTGTTGAAACGCGGCGCCCTCGTGAACGCGGCTGATCGGACCGGCTTCACGCCACTTCACATCGCCGCGCTGAACGAGCAGTCCCGATGCGTGGACGCGCTCATCTGGGCGGGCGCCGACATCAGTGCAACCACGTGCACCGGCCTGTCCGCCCTAAACATCATCCTGAAGAAGATCCCCGAGTCGTTGCACATTTTCCGGCAACGATTGGACGCGTCCATCCGGCTAACTCGACCGGTGTCGCACAATCGCGAATTCGAGATGCGACTGCACTTCGACATCCTCTTTCCCAGCAACAACAAGTGCGAGACCAGCTTCATAAACACGTTCGTGCAGGAGCACCGCAAGGATTTGCTGTCGCATCCGCTAGTCATGGCATTTCTGCATCTGAAATGGGAGAAGATTCGTAAGCTCTATTTACTGAGGATATTTTTATACGCCCTGACAGTGATATGCATGACTACTTACGTTCTGACAGCGCTTGCGTACAAGTGTTATAACAACAACGAGACCAACAGCTCGAAGATATGCAGCAGCAAACGGGCAGCCGACTTCCTTTTTCGGAAACCGGTCATCGAAATCGAGTGGTACCTCTCGCTGGCGCTTACATGCATCACCATACCGCGGAAGATATTCGGCTTCATGGTCTACAGATCGATGATACAGTACTTCTCCAACATCGACAACGTGCTGGACGCCGTGATGATAATGAGCGTGTTCGTCACATCCTTCATTTACACCGGACGCACCTACGACTGGCAGAACTATATCGGCGCGTTTGCCATACTTTGCGCCTGGACCAATCTGATGCTGATGGTAGGCCAGCTGCCGGCCTTCGGCACCTACGTCGCCATGTTCACGCAGATCCAATTCGAGTTCGCCAAGCTTCTGCTAGCGTACTCGGGACTGTTGATCGGCTTCACCATCAGCTTCTGTGTGATATTTGCAGGCGAGCCCGCGTTCGGTAATCCTTTCACCGGCTTGATCAAGGTGCTGGCTATGATGGCCGGTGAATTGGATTTTGAAGGACTCATCAATCAGACGGATGACGGATCGACGGACAAATCCTTCGTTATTTATCACCCTCTGTCGGTGTGCTCGCAGATCCTCTTCACGCTGTTCATAGTGTTCGTCACCGTGATCTTGATGAACTTACTGGTCGGCATCGCTGTGCACGATATACAAGGTCTGAGGAAACATGCAGGACTCACAAAGTTAGTGCGGCAGACAAAGATGATCCTATTCACGGAAATGGTACTGCACAACACCTCGATTCCGTATGCGTTTCGAAAGTGGTTGTCGGATCATAAGATCGACGTTGAAAACAGAAAACGCGTGCTTGTGGTAAAGCCGCTGAATCCACTCGAGAAGCGATTGCCCAAGGATATAATGAAAGCCGCCTATGAGATAGCGCAGAAGAACGTTCCCTATGCGAACGATGATGTTCATTTGAGCGATTATGCCACGTGGTTGAAACAACGACGGAGCGAAGAGTACTCCGACGCCGCCCAAATAGCAATTGAGAAATTGATCGCTATGATGAAAGTAAACGAAGACGCCATAAAACTGTTAAGAATGCAGATGCTGGAAATGAACAAAATGTTGGAAAATGTTGTAACAACATTAGAAAAGGAAGAACATAACTCTTTGTAAATGGAATGATCTGATATTGGTACGATCTGATGCTCTAATCCATAATTTCTATATGATTTCACTAATTTCATAATTCATTTTTTTATCAATTAGAGATATGTATATTTCTATACTTATAGGTGGCTGTTATTAAACTGTTTTTATCGATTCTTACTTTTTTTCAGTTGTACATGTATTTCTTTCTACGAGTAAAATAAATCCGCAATTTTGTTTTATCGAAAACACATCACAACAATCCAATATTTAAATCTCAGCTTCCAATTTAATTGATCTCATTTTCAGCAGTAGCACATCATTTCGGATAAATTTTTAACGTTGTCTCATGTTCCTCATATTTTATCTGTTGTAGATTATATTTCCATTAATTTTTACGGATATGGCCGATAAGGTGGATATCGAAGCCACAGTCAACGGTGGAGGTCCTACTGGTCAGTCGGGCGCTGTGCGTTGGGGTGTTGCATGGGGCTTACGTAGTTTCGTTGACAAACCAACGATTGAAAGAATGCGACTCGGTAAGGCACAATTATAGATTGATTAAGAATTCAACATTCTCCGTATAGATTCATACATAATTATTTAATCGCAATGGAATTAAATGTATAATAGATAATAAAAAATACTATTATTTGTAAACAGCTGGACTTTTAACGAGAGATTGGAGAAGACGCGAGAGGAAGAAGTGGGGTCAAGAAGGTGCTAGAAGAAAGTTCACTTGGAAGAAACGTTAATTTGCTTATTTCAAACATCATGTAATTACACATTACATACAATAAAATCGCATGAAACAGCGTTATCGAATAGTATTACGTTGCACAATTTAATTTGTCTCAAGAAAGTAAAGAAAACTTTCTGATATTTAATCAAAATAAAAAAAGGACTAGTCAAAATCTAAATACGGATGTGGATGCGTAGCTTTTTATCTTCAATATCAAATAAAAAAAAACCTTACATTTCTTCCAGAGGTATTAAACCAAGTAATTTCATACCTTGTGCGAGAATGTTTCTAGCAGTATGAAACAGTAGCAGTCTTTGACTAGCAACATCAGACGATTCATTTTTTACTCTCAATGTTTTAAAAGCCTT